CCGGTTCTCAGACTATTTACACTTTAGATATTACATGTGTAGTGGAAGCATACTAGTGAAGCATGACTTTTTTGGCATCAGTGTCAACAACACAGTTGGCGTGTGTTGTGTTGATTGCCTTCAATGAAAATCATAATACACAATGCCAAAAGCAACGGACAGAAAAGAAAGAGAACTGACGGTGGTATTGAACTATTGCCATTAGGGGAGAGCTAAATGTATGCTCATTGCAGCATTTGTTCTGTGGACATATGATTAGCCATGGTGGATGCAGGGACTGTACAAAGCATGTCAGCTCACAGAAACATCGTAAGTGTGCTGAATCTGACCCAAATTAACAGCATTCAGGAAATTTGTGCAGATAATTAGATGTGATAAATGCTGAGGTGTGTGCAACAGAATTCTCAGTGGAGCACAATCTGCCACTAGCTGTTGCAGATCACATCAGACCACTGCCACACAAAATGCTTCCAAACAGTAATGTAGCCAAACAGCATCACTGTGGTCAAACAAAACAAAATTTGTTGTCGGAGCATGAGCCAGAAAAGTGAAGTGTGAAATAATAATTGTGTTTAAAGGTAATGCGTACAGGTAGCTAGTAGGCCTACCAGTTCAAACTAGTCTCTGTAAGTATCAAAGAACATGGTTATTTCATCTTTTATGCAAATTGACAATTTGTTTAAGATGCGTGCCTGACACGGGACTGATCAGGAAGTTGAAAATTCGAATGTTGGAAGGTCTGGTTTGGAGGCCATTCAAAAATTTTCAGTTTTTAAATGTCTGTTTTTTAAAAATTGTTTTGACCTACCCACCCACACCCAATTAAAAAAACACAAATTTTTGTTTATTCAATATTGCCCAGTGTGTATGGTGGCGGCCATGTTAGTGTGCAAAGACCCCTAGAAATGAATTTAATTTTTCCCCTATGCTTTTTGGTAAGTGACATCTTTACCCATCAGAGTCAGTTGAATTTAAAGACAATTATTTAAGTATTTTTTGTGTTATAATTGAGCAAATGTCTCAAGAAAAACCACAAACAAAAAGTGGACATCAAGTTTTATGCCACACTCGCGCTTGGCACATGTGTTAGTACATGTACAGTGTTCATGTACATGCTGTAAACTTGCCTTGCATAATGCCATGGTTATAGAAAGCATGTGGTAAGAATTTACCAGTAATAAGTTGAGAACGTGAAAGGTGCGGCACTTCTGCTGCATAATAATGCTAAATTCTCACCACATCAAATTGTGCTTATGTATATTCAGATACCTTATGTATGCCGATCTCTGATAGTCATGCCCTTATGTCCCATATTGGGCCAATGATGTAATAAGTGGACAAACAAAGCAAATTTTTATTGGATGCTGATCATTGAACGTGTGCTCAAAGGCAACTCCAGAAAAGGCCAATTTTGCCAGGCATTGTTATGCAGCATGCCAGCGCACAACCATTTATTTACCTTTAACTTGTCTTTTGTTTGGTGGAAGTCAAAGTATGTATATGTTGTAATGGAATTTTGCCATATCTGTAAGTTGTTCACAAATCTCAGTTAACAGAATGCCATTATCCGTTCAAAAGAGACTGATGGAAAATTGCCTCTTTGGGCGCCGTCATACCCTGGGAAAGAATACTGATATGATACCAAGGTTTTTTTTTTTTTTAATATATTGAATGCCATAGTTTGGTAGTTGAAGCTGTTTCATGAAAAATAATTTGCACTCACAAGTGGCACAGACTGCTGTCGAGCTTAACATACGAAGCAAAAGAAGTTATTTCTTAGAAGATTGATTTTTGTTGTTGATGGAGTCATTTGTTTAAAATTGATTTTTAAAATTTCCATGTTGAAAGTTTGACCTCTCCTGTTGGATTGGATCTTACCTAATTATTTTGACTAATGTTTTGGAATAATTCCATTTGGTTATCAGTTTCCCACATGCACCCGCACATGTATTCACAAACCAATCACATGTAGGTATACCTTGATGTAATTCATTGTGTAATGTACATGTGTACTGTTCAGTGTACAGTGCTCAAGGTCTTGACAACCACGTAATCTTCCATGTAATTATCTGTTACACGCAATTAACTTTTTGGCAGGATAATGCATCTTTATTGGTATCTAAAAAAAAATTACCATGGTTGACATTAAAAAAGTATTACCATTATCCGTAACCCTGCTAAACCCAATACAGCCCAACAGGGCTTTAAGTTGTATTCTGTTGGGTTCAGCTATGTACATCAGTCAGATGGCACTGTTTGTCAGAGCTGTTTGTTGTATGTTGTTGGGTTCAGCATTACAGGCTTACCTAGCTGCTGGGGGTCTCCACTACTGTATTGCTTGGCTTGTACACAATAGTACACAGTGCATTTTATTCCAAATCAAATTGTTCATATGAATGTAGGATTGTGCTCTTCACGACAGAAATTGATGAGTTGTGAAGAATAACATAATACGTGTAGCTGTATAAATTTGAATAAGTAAGGCATTGCACTGTTGTTTTTTATTGGATGCAGTAGGGTTAAACATTATAATACAAGGTGAATTGTGTTGGGCCTGGCAGAGTATCTGAACTTGTAGAACAATGTTACCAGCATAGTACCCTGCTAAACCAACATATCAACTGTTGGGTTTAGCAGGGTGCTAACAGTATCAACTGTTGGGTATTTTGGGTTTCAGCATGCTGCACATTTTACTTGCTGTTGGGTTCTGCGAATTTAGGTTGGGGGTTAGGGTTAAAGAAAAGTCAATTGCCATATATTTGAGTCAGTGGGGTGAGGGCAACAAAACAATTTTTTAGGCATAGTCTTGAGGTGGAGCATATGTGGAGCCCTCAATCTCAGGAAAATTTTGGCCCAAAATATTACCCTGCCTGCATGGGACAAGTTTTGTGAAATACCGTAATACCATCTGCAAGTGATTAATTCCTTGTAAACATTCTATTGTTAGGAGATTTTGGACTGGATCGTTGGGACTTTCATGTGTGAATGTATATTTTTTTATGTTCACTTGTATACCAAAAGGACTGTCATTTTCCTGTAGTATAGGCTACTTATCTTAATCATGTTGATGTTTATGTAATCTTCCATTTTGTTTCAAGTAAATAAAGAACGGTACATTGCTATTGAAGTTAACCTGAGAATGGGAATTTTTCTTGATATGTTTTCAAATTAAGAATTCACCGTAATTCTCAAAAAAATAAAAATGTTACGGCCATTGAGAAAATAATTGTCCCTTTTCCAGTGGAGGTACTAATTATTTTCAGTGTTAAAACAGTCATTTTCTCACATTTCAGAAGCAAATTTCCACATTGAAAAGCTGAAATGAGAATAAATGAAACCCACTTTACATCAAACCCTGAGAATCAATCTAAGACTTACCTGATTCTTATGAGCAACAGGCTTGCACATGCAAAAAGTTAAGCTTGTTAGAAAAATCTCAAAAGTAAAAATTTTCTCTTTTCAAAGAGCAAAGCTGCTAAACCCATTACCGAGCAAACCTTAGGCACTGTAGCACTTTAGACTACAAGTCCAGTTTTCTGCAGCACTTTAAAATGCACAACATTGCCTTCTCAGAAGCCAAATTGTAACAGTGTGCAGCCTCATATATCACAACTTAGCCTTTTTTGGCTTTTATCACAGTACAATTTTGTATTAGAAAGAAAATGCTTGAAAGTTTATATCAGTGTAAAGTTGTGGTTTTAAGTGAACAACAGAAGTGATGATGTTACAGAATATTAAGTAGTGTATTGATGTACAACTAAGACCTGTAGTTTACATGTTGGTACCAACAAAAGTTACATTTTTCCCAAACATTTTAACTAACAGGAGGGCACCAATTTAATGGCCATGAATATTGTCAAATTGATATTAAACCTTTCTTTTGCCCTTTGATGGGAACTGGCTGTGTATGTATCAAATTAGTTGCACATGTGTTACATCAAGTGTTTCATCCCTTGTGATGGCTGCAATATTATGGACAAATGAAACAGATTTTTGGGAACAGCACACCCTTTCTTTATTGCAGTGACATTCACTTTTTTGCTTGTGTGTATACATGTGCGATTTTGTTGGTTTTAAGTGCAACTTGAGGAGTGAAAACAAATTACCTGGTTAAGATTGATTTTATGGGGCCATTTTGCGTGGTCAATTTTACAATGACAGCACCAATTCTGCACTGACTTGAGTAACTTCATACACAGTGAATTCTCCATAAATTTGGGAAAAGTGTGAAATGCAAATCCGAATTCATGTACAAAATAATTGCGTAAAAAGACCATTCCCATTTGCAGCATTAACTTTCAGTTGCAGTGCACCGTGTGGATAGTTGTACATGTACCATATCATAGTGTGGCATAAATGGAATGAAGTGGCATGACTGCATTCGTTGTATTGTATCAAGGATAGCGATAGACTAATCATGTCAGTGTGACTGTCACTTGAATATGAACAGATGCCCTCACAATATGGTCAGCAAGGCCAGGGCATGGAGTACATTGAGCAGCAATCATGGCAGCAGTCATGGCAGCAACAGCCACCATCATCATGGCAACAGCATCAACAAGGGATACAGTCACAGCAGCAGATGTGGACCAACTCTCATCCAACGTCTCAGGTATAGCCGCAGTGCTTACCAGATAGTACACATGAACACTGCTACAATTTACTAACAATTTCTCTAAAGCAGAGTACTAATCAAAAATAAAATACGCCTTGTTTATGCGCAATCCTGATCTGCTTCAATACACCTTTTTCAGTGGAGGGACGGTCACTGAGTATTAGTTCTATAGCCAAACTGCATAAAGGCCTTTTCACACGAGCGCCGATAACAGAGGTCCTATGCTGTGAAATCACATGGATGTTACAATCGCTGTGATATCGTCACAATACCGTGTGAAGGTTGACCTCACACAGTTATAGCACAGGCCCTGAGCGATCGTCACGGACAATCGAGATTTCCAAAACTTCCCATCGATGCAAAATCTGTGTAATGATCACCGCGATCGGCCATGTGAATGCAGAGCATGCGATTGTTGGGAGTCTTTGAGTTGAATCTTATTATGCATGCGCACCCATTTATTGACATCTTCAAAAATGGCGGTTGGCTACTCCAAATTATGATGTCGAAAAATGGAAGGGCTTGGCGTCTTTCTCCCGATCGGGCTGCTTAATTTAGCATGTAGGCTAGCAGAACCGAACGGAGTACGGACATGCAATAAACTACATGAACTATCAAATTCTGCAAAGAACGCATTACCTGCAAATGCATGGCGGGAAAATCGCTGGTACCGCACGTTTCTAACATTAAAAACATAGCAAAGCACTAGCGATGCAATTTAACCTTTGAACGAGGAACGTCAGTTACACAATAAACATTGCACTGTGTGAAAGCCTGCGAAGAAATCTCACAGGTTGAAAGACTCAGACACTGTGGCGCTGACTGTTGCAGATGTGTGGTTTTGGCACTCGTGTGAAAAGGCTGTAACACCCCAAAGATCATCAAACATGGCACTTCCAAACTGAATCAATCCAAACTAAGCCATCTGGTTGGTTCAGATGTTCGGCATTTATGATATGGTATTAATAGTGCTTGGAATTGTGCCAATACATGCTGTCCTGGGTAAGATCACTGACTTGATATCAAGTTTATTTGCCTTCAAGTGGATGTACATGTAGATGCTGTTGGTTGGTGGTGGGATTTGTTTTGTGAACAAATGACAATAACATGATTCGCTTGAAATCTAATTTCATCACATGTTCTGCAAAGCAGGGGATTCTCATTTTTATGCCGTTCCCCAGCAAAGTCTAAGGGGCATACTGTTTCCACCTTGTCCTTCGATGTGTGCCTGTGAGTGTGTAAACGCCTTCAGTCGTGGATCTATAACAATAGGACACAATAGGGTCCACGGTTGCCGAAGAGTCCACGGTTGGAAAACGTGTACAAAACATATGGGAGGTCTTCCGAAAAAGTTATAAGTATGAACAAAAGAGGAACAATAGGGAGTCCACAATTGAAGGCATTTACACACTTGTGTGTGTGTGCAGCTGTGACATACTTAGCGTAGACCTCTGCACTAAAGAAGTCCACATAATGTAGGATGTGATGGCATTGTGTGGACTCGCACATGTCCACACAATGTTTTCCCCTCTGAAAACAGCCTTAGAGGCATTTTGGGTTCAAGGTTATCTGTTGCAAAATGAAGGGGAACAGGCAAAGTGAAGAGGAACAAGCCAGCTCAAAGGAGTTATCCTAGTGGGAGAAAAAGGAGCATTTAGCTTGAGTTCTCTTAACCACAGGAGAATAAAGGAATGTTCACACTACATGTGTGAAAAAAGTACATGGATGTACATGTATGCGTGTGTCAGGAATATTCTTGTCAGCGCAATAACTTGAGAAATACTTTGTGTATGAACTTCAAATCTGGTGTGTGGATTAGTATTGAGCATCCAAAGAAACCTATTGAATTTTGGTCTGAAAAAAAACAAAGATCAAGGTCACAGTGGCTGAAACAATGGAATTCTTGTCTAGTAAATGACTTGAAAAATACTGTTTTGTATTAACTTCAAATTTTGTGTAGATTACTCCTGGTGATCCTAAGAATCGCCCGTATTGCACGTTTGTGGGTAGGTAAGCCTTTCTGGGGTTAAGGGGACAGTTTCTTTGGTTAAAAAATTCTGGACAGAGTTGTGGGGTCATCAGTTTTCCCCCCAAGCATTTTCAGTCAATTTTCAAAACTTGGCATGCATGTAAAGACCTCCTTATTACAAAGTTGAAGTTTGAATTCAATCATATGTACAGACTTGTTGTTATGGTCATTTGAAGGCTACATTTGTGCCAGCCAACATGCATGAAACACTGCAGTGGAAAAGTCTACTTTTTTGGCTGACCTGTCCCAGAACTGTTGGTACTAAATATCACTCAAATTTTACTTCGCTGTCTTTACCCTTATCCAATAAATCTATACAGAATTGAAATAGAATATGTAATTTGTACATGTACCTGATGCCTGTGACCCCATCACATACAAGGTTATTCAAAATGAAATTCTGTTGAAACGATATACTGCAGCACAGTCTCTTATCCTCAGTGGAGGTAAAACCTGTACTGAAACAGCAACTGTGGGTAGCAGCTCACCAGTTGGCAGAGGCAACTATTGGTGTACATGTGAAAACCCCAAACGTGGAAATAAAGTTATAAGTATAATGCAATACAGTGCAATAAGCCCCATGCAATTTCAAGTATGATCCATGACGAAAATGACTGTACACTATGGAACATGAAGTATAGTTAATAATAAACTCTGGCTTGAATTTAACATGTACCAGTATGCTACCGGTAAAAAGACAACATGCACAAGTGGGGGCATGCGGAGCATGACAATGGCTGCAATGGCTGACAATGGCAAGTACATGTACATGCATTAGCTATATGCATACATTATTCGCAATGAGTTGCTACATGTACACAATGACACAAAAACTCCATAAATGTCATCACTGTTTTGGACATGACTTCAAACCAAAAATTGACCTCAGAGAAATAAGCATGTTTGTCTCAACAAATGCCTGTAGGTTACTACAGGACATTAATTACGTGATTCCTCTCACCCAGGGGCGTTCAGCGGAACATTCTGGAGAAAACCGACCATGCTGCATTTTTTGGATTCTCTGTTTACTTTCCGATTTGGAGGAATCAATTCGAAGGTCCGTCGATATATCAATAATATCCAATACATCGATTTTTCTTTGATATCGATATGAACAATACCATTTTAACATTGAAATTGATACATCGAACGCACCGATAAAATGAAAAAAATGAAGCTACATGTATAGTAGTTGTTGTTGACCATGTTGACAAGGTCTTGTCTTGAAATAAAAGTGTCCATTTTTTGTGGCCAAGAATAGCAGTCAGCAAATTTACTTTTGATTTGTTGTTTTCCTCTTCACCAAAGCTTATAAAAAGTGGTTAAAAGTGAACAGCTGTGTGGTATACAATGATTTTTTACATTGTTATATACATGCACTAGGACAGCGTACATGTAAAACTTGAGTGTATTAAAGCGTGCTTTATATTTAGCAGGGCATGTTTCCACAAGGGAAAATATGTGCACAAATATACTGTGCAATACTAAGCCTGTTTGATATGACGATGTTTCACAACATTTTGATATGATGGTGATATTGGATGTTGTATCATTCGTAAAAACACGTATCGGGATATCGTGCAAATCGATATGCCGAAAAGTGTCGCAATAAGCTCCAAACGATGTACTGTACGTGCAAATAGGGAAATCAATGCACCGCGTGTTGAGCCTTGCATTAGTGCATTTAGGCCACACAAATGCCCCATTGAAAACCTCAAACCACAAAGTCACTGTTGGCCCTAGCTGCTGCAAGGGTCTTACACGTATTGGGGGCAGTACCAAACCAATAGACTGTATGCACGTGTAATGTATTGTACAGTAAACTCCAGCTACACGTAAGTTGGCTCTCTCACTTGGGACTCGAGATTGTCATACCGCGCCCGGGTGCTGCACACATACACGGCCGTTTTCCAGTAACCTCAACTTCGTTTCTGTCTCAGCCTCCATCTCCAAAACAAATGCCCAATTGTGGGCTTGAAGTGTTTCAATTAAATTGAAGAACTGTAATCTTTAGCTCTTTTGCATCTTACTTGATGTTTTGTGCCACTTGCAAACTTGCTATTGCACTTACAACCTCAAAGTCAGGTAGTAAAAAAACAGTTGAAGCCTGAACAGAGACGAAGTCCCGTATTGGAAAATGGCCGACACGTTAAGTTGGTTCAATAAGGCGACCCCCAAAATGGACAGAGTGCATGGGTGTAGCCCAAGAGGGGTTCCTGGTATTGATGTACTCAACCACGTGCATGCATCAGTCAAGCAGTGTGGGGCTTGACGCTTCTGGGCAACCACAGAAGGAAACTGATATTATTGCTGACTTACAAGAAGGGTTTTTTGTGGTCTTGTAGAAAAGGGACTGAGTGAAACATGCCGACTTATGAAAAATAAATGACGACTTAGAAATGGGGTGAGCCGTCAATACCAGTAGCCCCTCGAGTAACACGCATGTGCTCTGTCCATTCTGGGGGTTGCCTTATTGAGCGAACTTTACCGCTAATGTGTGCTGGGAAATATCTTTTTCTGTATGATGCCATATGATAATTTAATGTCCACAATTTCCATGTTGAAATTTGCTTTCCACCAGCATATAAGAGTTCTAAATGTAGAAATAATACATTGCCCTGTACATGTGTTGTTTTTTATTTTCCTTTTTTTTTTTTAACGTGGCACTCAAGACATCGTGATTGCGGTCGTGACCATTTTATGAATGGAAAATGACGTCATCACGATAATACCGGATACTTTTTTCAGATTTTATCATGATATCACGATATGAAAAGAACTGAATATCGAACAGGCTAATGCAATACCCTTGTGTCTGGGTACCAAACCTCAATGGTTATTGCATGTGTGGCGCAGCAGAGCTTTGACGACCGGAAGCCATGAAACTCGAAGACTGGTTTACATGTGGCTGTGACATTAACATTAGTGAATTTTGCCTGGGACTTGTGAGTGTACATTTTGCATGACACCAGGCAAGATCGTCGCAATTTTGACATGGCTATGTTCTACCGGAATGTACATGTACATGTAATCTTGTACATGTACCGAAATACAACTTACTCAACTTGCCTGAACAGTGCAGTGCATGTTGCCCACACCACGTCCGTGGCAACACGCTCTTTGATGTGTACCAGCCAATGTTGGGATGTCTGTAATAATCAAGACACCTAATGCAACACAGTTCCTGCAAAACATCTTTGCAGATCACTCTGCACAGCTAAGGCTACGTTCAGACACCATTTTAAATTCGCTTAAAACGGTAATTACACCCGATCAGTGTAACTTGTGTGCTAAAATGATGTCTAGTTGCACCGAATCGGTTTATCTCCAAGTGAAAACGGTGACTTAAAAACACCTCAGGGGGATGGTTTAGCACTAAACTGAAACGGTTTTAAAATTTAGTATGGTGTCTAGATGGTTTTAGCTAAAACGCATCACGTTTTACCCAGCGCGGTGACCTGGAGTAACGTAAGACACTTCTGGTGTGCTTGTAAACAATGAGTTGTATGTAACCGTGTGTGCGTGCCGACGCATTTCCAGCCAAGTTTTCATTAATCGCCATTTTGTTTTTCATGCTGCTGATGAGTGTTTTCTGGGTAATGATCATTTGTTACATAGCAATGATAATATGAACAAGAGTCTCCTGAGAGAGCGCCGTGTTGGAAACACAACACAAGTGTTTTGTTGCATGGTACCCTGCTGACAAACAGTGTGTTTTACGTGTTATGCAGTAAGTATAACGGCAACCAGTCTTAACCTGCTTTAAGCACAGAGAGCCCAACCACATGCATAATGTGTGCATGAAAACAAACTTGCATGGGCTTTATGTAAATGAGCGGAAGTTCTTCATGACCTCAAGAAAAGGAGATAAACTGCTTTGGGTTAAAACTGCCATATTACAACAGTGTCTGGGCGCTCGGTGAGTTTTAATTTTACGACCCACCCCGAGTGGCGCCCGTTTTAACTTTTAGCGTTTTAACTAACACAGTATACATTCTTGCATAGAATGTATGCAATATTCAGAAGTTTCAAACACGTGTTTGTATTTTGTGTTTTACAGTCCAAAAGAAAAGGCTTCCTGTTATGCCTTTTTAAGTCGTCTGATATGATATTCACTTATCTTCTTCACCACTACCTTGGATCTTGCTCCATGACTACACGCAGCACAGAAATGACTGTCTTTAGCATAGTCAGTTATTTTCAGATTATTTTCGGCATAGGCCAGTTGCAACACTGTTCTCCAGCCCTAACATTCCTGTTTCCTCCAATTTTAATATGATTTTGCACACACCCGAGGGAGTTAGGGTTAATGAGCTATCAACAATTCAATATGTTGTTTCAATAGTGTGTTTCGTGACTCCATGACATGGGACATTCCGTAAAAAACTTGAAATCTGAGCAACTTAAGTTTTTATCTATTCTCCAAGGTTCGAGTTTTCAGATGTAAATGGCAACCAACAAAAACATAACTGTGCCACCTGCACGAGGTACGCGTGGCCCGGCCATGGCTATTGTGACTGATTTTATCCTTTTAAGTTTGCCCTAGAAGCTGCCCAGTGTATAAGCTGCAGCAGCATTTTGCAGTGTGAGAATCAAAGTATAAGCCATGGCTTATATTCCAAAAATTACGGTACACAAAACAAGTGCAGTGTGTGGCTTTATTGCTTTGGACATGTTGGCCACTCAACTAAATGTAGATCTATGTAGAATGTAGACACTAAGTAATGTAATTTAACTCAGAATTGACCTTTACTTGAGATTTATTGCCCAGTGTTACAAGAAGAATGTCACATTTGTGTATTAGCTCATTTGCATTTGTACTTAATCCATTAGTGAATCTGAAAAAACACTAATGGTTTGGCAATTTTAAGAGGTAAACTAATGGGTTTGTGAACAGAGTTTGATTATGGGTGATTCAGATGCTGGTCCCTGGTACAGATAATTGCATCGCTGGCATGTGTAATTGTACTGCTACTACTTTACACATCTGGTGATGTACATGTATAAGTTATTTGATTATTTTGTAATCAAGTTCAGGAACACTTTGATACAATCCTTTTCATTTCACAAATTGTGAAAGAGTGTGTCAAAAGTGGGAAAATATTTTCACACCTTTTCACACAGGTGGGAAAATATTTTCACAGATTTTCCCCCCCAGTGGGAAAAGATTTTCACGCTTTTTCCCACAAATGGGAAAAATTTTCACAAATTTTCCCCCAAGTGGGAAAAGATTTTCACAGATTTTCCCCAAAGTGAGAAAAGATTTTTGCACTTTTTCTTGTAAGTGGGAAAAGATTTTATCTGGTCGTGGGGAAATAATTTTGCAAGCTTTCTTTGTTTAGTAGTATTTGTGCATATACATGTAGACATCAGCAAGTTTTTGTTCTCTGTGGTTTCAAACATGCGCATCTCTGAATATGGAAAGTGGAGGAAAATCAGTCTGAGAGAAACGTTCTTCAATTCTCAGGAATATTCAGATTACTTGAGGAAGACAGCATTAATATTTCAATGCAGTATGTTTCTCGGTTTTGAGCAAAAAACAATGCGACAGGCGAAATCAAAGCTGGCTATGGTTGAGGTTGGAGACAAGCACTGAACACCGAACAGCTGAATTACAGTAGATTGCCGTTATAGCGCTCTCTAACGTGTCTTATATTATAAGATATAAGCGTTTACAAATTAAATTAACCCACTTGGATGGATGCTCAACATGTGCACTGCATATGTGCACATGAACATGTATCCACATGTTGTCATGTATGTAAATTACGTTTACATGTATTGGCAAATGTATGTACCGTGATTTCGGAATAAATGCCTTGTATCCGGTTATCTCTACGTTTTCGTGACGCGGATCTAAAAAAAATTACCAAATCTCTTCAAAAACCGCCACGGGACCTCGTGCATGCCACATCGCGCTCCGCATAGGGAAGCACACACTGCATCTACACCTACCGCGACATCCTGACTGCTACTGGATGCACATTCATGGATAATCCAATCGCTGACTTTTTCCAATAACCATGTGACCACAGAAAGAAACCTTTCGGTAACAAAATACTGCTTGTAGTATTTCATTGTTGATTTTTTGTTTGCCAAACTACACCACGAAAATAAATACAAAGTGGGCAAATAACCCATGTCGCCACAGCAGAGCAAGTTAAGTTTATTGTAATACACACATTTTGTGTGGTTTGTGATTTCATAACTTGGGGACTCCCGTTTATAATAATCACTCACCATCCAGACAACTTTTTAAAGATTTATTCTCCGACATTGACGAGTGTTTATCTATGGTAATCCAAGAAAACAACTGCACCACGCAAGCGCGGGCCGCCGTAGTGAGCACATCCCCGCGATCGCGTTGCATGGACCGGACGTCTCGGTCGGGGAAATCGCTACTAGACTACAACAGCACATTCCACGTGGTGAGTTGGCCCCGGCCGGCCCCAAGCGCAGTGCAGCCTGCGTAATGGACTCTTCACTGCGTAATAGTCGTGCGCATGTGGCCAGTGTTGAGCATTTTCGCTGCACAATGCTTCTTGTGTTCGCAAGTTTGTGCATGATTTTGGTACCTTTCACACCGCTTTTGCAAAATGTTGACACTGTTTTCGCACACTTTTTTTTTCTCAGTGTTTTCGCAAATGTCTCACGCCGTGTTCACAAAAGATTCGCACCGTTTTCGCACGATTTTCGCACTGTTTTCGCTTGTCGTTCGACTCTTTCGCATCCGATTCGCTGCGAATTCGCAGTGGGGAAAAGTTGTGTGGTCAAAATGCGAATGCGAATTCCTTTCTCTTTTTTCCCATTCCTTTTCGCAGCGTTATCTTTCAAATGCAACGTACTGTACTTTCACCTGGAGTGTGTCTCAAGTTCAATGACGGTGGCGCACTTCATGCATGGTATTCATGTGTAGTTCTGTCCCTTAAACAAGGCTGCCGAGCTTGCATGGAATGCAGCACGTGCTGCCTGCAACTGCATGCCTTTATGATCGTTGAAACAACCAGAGTTTTAACAGAGCCATGCAAAGCAAGTAATGTACAGTGCAGTTCACTGTCTGAACATGCATCTTGTGTGAGTTGATTTGTGCTTGCTGCTTTGCACCCCGCATGCAGGTGGTCAGCGTGATGAGCACATTTATTACACAGCGTTGAATTCAAGACTTTCATGTCAGTCAGTGGTTCCCAATTGCTGTGATTGTATGAATAGGAATATTGTACATAACAAGCGGGGAATCAACTACATGAACATCATGGTTGTGCACGTGTGTTTTTGCAGGATGAGCTGTGAATCAATGTCTACAACGTCGTCATGTCATGGTTTCGAATAAAAAAAAAACATCTCATGCATCATCTTACTTATTTCAAGGGTGTGAGAATTCCCCTTTTTAGGTGATTTCTGCTTTTTTGTGTGTAGATGTTGACTCTGAATTTGAGCTTTTTTGTACACCTGATCCGAACAAAAGTTTTGGAGCTTTTTACATTTCAGCTTTTTGCCAGCTGTTTTCAGTTTTAATCTTAAGTGGCCACTCACACCCCTGGATTTTGTGAAAACATGGAAAATTGTAAAATTTTAGAAAGAATATCAAATCAGTGGTGAAAAGAAAGTGGAACCGGACATGGCTGCAAGAAAAGAGAACTTTGATCATTATGCGTGTCCACAACGCTACATGTAGGTTGTGCGCTTCTATGTTATTTGCAACAATTAAGACAGTTTCAATTTTTTTTAGCAGACCCTGTGGCATCTCTGAGAATTATAATCTGGCTATGCAGTTTCTCATGTTAAGTTTAGCTAAAATCAGAGAGTTAACATGCTCCACGAACAGAACAACCAAGTTAAATTACCTGGTGGCTTACAAACTTGCAGTTGAGCGGCTGGTACTGTTTTGGTTTTATTTGTGTAGACTTTTCCCAGTTAAAGACATTAATCTGAATGATTTGTGTTATTGCAGCATCAACCTCCATCGTCATCAGGTTACCAGCAGTCTCAACAGCCAACATCATCGTACAGTAGAGGGGGACAGCAGACCACACCCAGCAACAACAAATCTGGATCAACTTCTGATGAAGTGAGTGTTGCTAACAGACCACCCAGTCTGCCTGTAAGTTTGTCATCTTACTAACCTTTTATTTCCACATAGTATGTGATATTTACTGATCTTTTTTATACTTGTACAAATGGGCTGAAATGGGCTACTGCGCATGCGTTGTGTGCGTGGATCGTTTTTGTGTACAAAAACGAAGTGGCCTTTTGGAGGCTTCTGGTACTCTACAAGAAACTAGAAATCATTTTTGAAAAATCTGGGTCAGAAACACCAAAGAGAGATTGAGGTTTAGATCATGAGTGTGAGCACATATGACCACTGAGTGATGAAGTGTACCATGATTTTGCTGAATGGCCACCGCTGTGGTTAGCCTCACACCTGTTGTACATGGGCAGATATGGACTGTTGTGATTTTGTCTATTTTGTCATGAGTTCATGATTATCACTAAGTTCCGTTTTTTTACTTTTTGTTTTTTAAAGAGAAATAATAACGAGCATATTTGATGATTTTATATTTGATGGCTAATCTGACTTTGTTCCTCTCAATCCTACATGTAACTGAAACATTGTACATTCAAATACAAAGTATGGTTTGGGAAATTTTTTGGCAACTGGTCAGCTACATGTACTTATCTACTTCATACTTTACAAATTGATTTTGTTGGGTTGGGGTTCATTTTCATCCTTGAAGTGCAACCTTTGCACTGTTTTTTCCCTTTTATTTCAAAATTTGAGAAATTATAGACATTGTTTTCATGTTGGAAGCAGTAGAGCTTACATCATTTTTTTGGGGGGTAGACCTTGTGCTAAGAAGCTTTCTTGAGCTGCAAATTGTTGATATTTTCTTACTTTGTTCATAATTGTGTGTCGACTGGGGCAGTAGTTAATTTAGAATACTTCCCCCCCAGTTCTTCATTGTAAAACTGGTTCATTCTATTAATTAAACTTGCACTTTTTGACTTTCCAAAACTTCATACCATGCACTTCCATTCAGCAAACAGACACATGTACTGTACAGTGGAATGTCGCTATATCGAACATTAGGCTGTACCGAACATCGTCCTTGGCTCCCAATAATTTGTGCACAGAGCCTACCGAACACTATTCAGTTGCAGTTTGTAATTTCCGAACATCAATATGATAAAACAGTCACTGTTTTTTATGTTGGAAAGTGACAAGTGGCCATTATTTGCCCAAGGATTAGAAGGGAAAGCCACTAGTTGTCAACAGTATTGAATAGACGCTGGTTTTGCGACTCCACATGATTGGGGGCAGAAGAAAACCGCACGTACGTGCAGGGTGGCATTGTACCAACAATAGTCTAAAGAGGGCACCGCTGATACACAAATCAACGGAGATTTGCCACAGCATGCATCAGAGATCTATCCGGAGTGGTAGTTTCACGACTTTTAGGACAAACTTGATATCAATTTTTTGATTGAAGATTTGAAAGAAGAGAGGAAATGCAATACAAATTTGAGGAGTTATAAGCAACTCGAAATGCTAACATCATTGTTTAACTGAAGAAACAAGACTCTCTGGTATCACAATTAACCAAAACTGCTACAAAGAAATTGAACCAAAAGGGGGTTTTCACAAAATACAAATGAGTGTATCTCTGCAACCCCTTGACCGATTTTGTTCATTTTGGTGCCAAATGATTCTGAATTATATGACTGGTAAGAATGACTCAATTGAGATGAAAATATCCACTTTGAAATTTCCCATTTCTGTCCCATTTCTGTCCCTACTGAGTGAGGCTGATGCTACAATAGGAAGCACCTTATATAAAAGGGTATTGAGAGAGATGGCTTCTTAAGCCATTTTCACGGTTTTGTGCTATTAGAAAACGTTGAGCTACATTTATGTACATGTAACTGTGTCTTTACTGATCCTACCAATTAGTTTCAGTAGCAGGAAGAAAAATTGTATTTAATGCTGTTCAAATAATTTTCAGACATTTGCCAGTGTTCTCTAAGTGCTTGCATTACTTGCTGTATTTTCAGGCCTTAATGCTATTGTTAAATTTTTGGGGTCACAGGGTTAATGGGTTTTCAAATCAACTTTGAACCAAACTCAGGCATATACAGAGCCATCAACTAGTATTGATTTTTCATATAAATTGAACAAGAATACGGAAGTTCGGATCTGCACTGGAAAATATAGATTTTGGAAAATCCAATCATGGCATATTATACGCAATATTGACAGGCTTGGTATGGCGTGTGCAGGCAGATGGGCACTGTGCGATTCAATGTACCCATTTATATTCGTACTCCACAGACCTGCACTTTTTTCACGAACTGGTAACTTAGCATCTCAGGAAAATTAGTCTGGTCAAAGAGCAGAAGTTTGCCTGGACCTGGGGAAAGTATCTGAGAGGGAAGTGTTTCCGTGCTGTTCACACTAGACGTAAAAGTGAAACAGTAATCTCAGTGTAAAGGTGGATGCGGCCAGGAAATTGTTAGGGCTGTGCCAACTACCTAGGTACCTGCAACCCTGCCGCTGATTTTGGGTACCTGGTTCCATTTTGTTGATTTCATTACCCGCAACTGCCCCTGTTAATGTTTACACAATGTATCAGAAACAAGCACCCTTTTCCTTTGCCTACTTGCCCAAAAATCTGAGTAAAATATGTTTTTAGTCAGTTTGGAACAATTTAGATCACACATGAATCAGTGAAAAGTACCGGTCACGACACGCTGCACGTGTAACTTATCATAGGCTGGCTGACTGGCTTTGATAAGAGCACTTTGGTATTTTCACACCTGGGTTACTTGTATGCATGCTGCATTGGAAGGAAACATCTTTTGACTGCACATACTAGGAAAGTTCAAGAGAAAACATGCCTCAACTATGTGCTGCACTGTTCTGATGATAGATCAAATAACATGAAAGTTTAGCCCACAAAGGTACGTTTAAGTGGTTTATTGCTTGTATATCAGTAGAAAAGATACTTTTGGTAACAATGACAAAAAATCAAAAAAAAAAGGTGATAATTCATGAGCAAAACTATTAGAATTTACAAAGAGATGGGAAAAGTACTACAAAAACATATCACCGCAGAGCGAGTTGGTTTCAATTATGTATGTCATGTGAAGGCCTGGTACCATGAATCCATGACCTGGACACTTTTGTAAGCTTGAAATTGGGATAGCATGACTTTTAATCTATTCCCCCAAGGTTCAGGCTTTCAAGATTTTATTTCTTTGTTCACACTTAAAAACAGGGAAATAAAATGTTTCAGTTGCAAAGTAATCCTGTTAAAGCTTAGGTCCTTAACATGCACCAGCAACCATGTCAGTGTAGCGTTCGATCTGACAGCTTGGCAGTACATGTAGAGTGGGTGGGAACTTGGTAGAAACTACTTGACTAATGTGTTTTGTTATATTTTGATAATAACTATGGGCACCCAGGTACCCGCCCATTATGGGAATCAGGTACCTGGTTCCCAGTAGGTAATGACTGTCCTCATTAACAAGTCAGTGGATATTGTATTTTAATAAAGATTTTTCACCTTGTAGTTATTGGATTGTGATGACATAGTCAGAGCTGCCAACCAGTATGCCAATCGTCGTCGTATTGTGACAATACGGCACGACGATTTTTCTCAATAAAATACAGTATACAAAAAAACCTTTGTAATTATTTTAGACTTTTACCTATTGTTTGGCTTGAAAATTGACACTGCCTTGCCGACACTGAAATAGACTGGCCCCTCACAGTTCGTTGCTCAAAAGCTTTTTCAATATGTATACTCACGCAGGACATAAGACCACTTCGTTTTTCTGGTTCACAGACGAATGCGGGCCCGGGTCCGAATCAATTGGCTACGGCCAGAAATTACACCAAATGTTTGGCAGCATCCATGGTTAGATCTCATGGCCTTCGTGTAAAGATACACGAATGACGTCATCTGATAAAAGTGCCCAACTGAAATGTGCGGAGGCCTAGGGGAATTCCTTTACTGTACATATTACTCAATCCCACCCATCAAAAACACGTTACAATTACGAAGTAGCAGAATTCCTGCCGATCAAGTAAGTTTGGCGGCTTTTGGAAATTGTTTAATGAAAAATAAATAATATATTTTGCCGACGCGCAGCTCTACGGCGACCCGCGCGGTGACCAGAAACCGGAGACTTTTTGGAGGGACCTAACATCAGTTGTTGGTGATATCGGAAATGCCATGCAAACGCATGCTACACACATGATGCGGCGTCCATCCATAAGGCCCTCTATTGTCCGTTGCCTCATTTGTGCAGTTCTTCTGTGTGCCGTATGTAAACTATGTAAAATCAGTCTGGGGCCCAGACTGTACATCGTAAATTAATACAAAATAAAAATCGCAATCCTTGAGGTACTGTGTAGGGAATTACAGAACAGTGAAGAATGGGAATTTTTTTTAAGGATTTGTTAGGTAAAATCACAGGTTTTTTGGTCAAGTGAGGTTGGCAGCTCTGCGTAGTGTACGTGTACCTGTACATGCACGCCACTAGAAATTCTATGAAACCGAAAAAAAACCAAAAGCTACTCTTGAATCATCTAGTAACCCAATGAAGACTTTTAAGGTATTACAATAGGTATGTTGTCTTCAGAAATAAATCTGAATGTGTGTCCTTATTTAACAAGCCGGTGGAAATTGTATTTTTAAGAGAGATTTTTCACACTGTAGCTGATTGGCTTGTGATGACATAGTATGCAATTTCCTCAGAGCCACAAACAGTCCATGCATCAGGCTTCAGTAAAAGATAAGAGAGGGCTGGAGCAATGGAGGTCATTGACTCCAGGGATGTAAACAGCCTCAGACAACCTGGAGCCCAGTGTTCTCTAAGAAATTTGGCATGCTTATGGCTATTCTCTTGTCCTACAATGAACTCCCTCATGAATGAATGAGAACCGCTTGCCCTATACTGGTTAATACACACTCTCAAGTCATTGATCACTGCTAAGGAGATGTAGTTTAAGGCTATCTAAACTAGCAAATACCAACATGGGAAATTGTAGTAGAATGCACTTCTGAAATGAAATTTGGATGCCAGAAAGTTTGCTAGATT